GTTGGTGGGAATGCAAGTTGGTACAGCCACTTTGGAAAAGTCTGGAGGTTCCTCAAAAAGTTAAAAATAGAGCTACCCTAACCCAGCAATTGCACTCCTGGATATTTACCCCAAAGATACAGATGTAGTGAAATAAGGGCCACATGCACCCCAATGTTCACAGCAGCAATGTCTGCAATAGCCAGACTGTGGAAAGAGCCGAGATGCCCTTCAACAGATTAATGGATAAAGAAGATGTAGTCCATATATACAGTGGAATATTACTCAGCCATCAGAAAGGATGAATACCCGCCATTTGCGTCAACATGGATGGAACTGGAGGAGATTACGCTGAGTGAAATAAGTCAAGCAGAGAAAGAAAGTCAATTATCATATGGTTTCACTTATTTGTGGAACATAAGGAATAGCATGGAGGACATTAATAGAAGGAGGGGAAAAATGAAGGGGGGAGAAATCGGATGGGGAGACGAACCATGAGAGACTATGGACTCTGAGAAATAAACAGAGTTCTAGAGGGGAGGGGGGTGGGGGGATGGGTTAGCCTGGTGATGGGTATTAAGGAAGGCAGGTATTGCACTGGTTGTTATACGCAAACAATGAATCATGGAACACTACATCAAAAACTAATGATATACTGTATGGTGACTAACATTACATAATAATTAAAAAAAAAAACATAGAAGAGGTAAGATGATTATCATCTGTGATATTACTCACTTTGTCACATGGTTACCACACTGAAGTATCCAGAAGCTCTTCCTTTTAAAGCCCTTATGTTTGGATTTAATATACTTCTAGCCTTAGTCCCTATAACTTTACTTTTGTAGTCTCAAACCCTTCACTTTCTTGCTCTTAGTTTGGTTTCAATAGGAAAGTCCTATTTGAGTCCCTAGTTATGCCTCTACTTGTTCAAGTTTTTTTACTTTATGACCATGTTCTGTACCACCTGTTGCTATCCTGTTGATTGTTATTTTGTCTTCTCTTCCAATGGAAGCTGTTTCTTTGGGTCTTCTATAATGAATTCCTCTTCTCTCTCGCTCTGACTTAAGGTATTTTAAGTTAGACTTGGCCTTTTCCCATTTATTGTCTTTCCATCATTTTTCTTAGCATAGCCTTTATTTAACACACATCCTTCAGTTCTTTGTAAACTTCTACCCATTTAGCTTATTTGAAAATAAGGATTTCTTTCATCTAGACGGAGGCATAATAAAACAGACTTGGCCACCAAAAAATAAATGTTTAATGCTTTATGATTATTTTTTTGTCTTTTGTTTTACATAATAACAAAATTATATAAGCTTCTTTGGAATAGGACATTTTATACCTCATTCCTTTATAAACTCCCCCAGAACAGATATTTATTTATCTAGATGTAGACTGAGGAGACCCTAAGAGATTAATGACTTGTAGGTTATAATGTTGGTGTTAACATAGTACTTTGTAAGTTATTTAAAATTTTTACCTTTTTAGTAAGGCACGTTTCTAATATTTGAAGATGCCTATGAATCTTCATAAGCAGCATACTTTTGTATAATCTCTCTTTTACTTAAATCATATTTATGTGTAGAACTGTTTTTGATGACATTATTAAGGTAAATTCTAAAGTTGGATTTATCAGGAAGTCTTATATGGGGGGGCATATTTTAATTGGTAAAAATATAGTGGTACATCCTATGTGGAATTTAAGAAAACAGATGAGCATTAGGGGAAAAGGAAAAAAAAAAAAAGAGGGAAGCAAACCATAAAACAGACTCTTAACTATAGAGAACGAACTGAGGGTTGCTGGAGGGGAGGTGAGTCGGGGATGGGCTAAATGGGTGATGTGTGTTAAGGAGGGCACTTGTGATGAGCGCCGGGTGCCATATGTAAGTGATGATGGATTCTACTGCTGAAACTAATATTAAACTATATGTTAACTAAATTTTAAATAAAACTTGAAACATTAAAAGAAATAATAGCCATATAGAGCAACTGTTGTCCCATTAAACCAGTACAGGAACCTCAGTAAGTTATTAAGAACTTAATTTTCAGCGAAAGTTACCCTTATCACTTTTTAGTCTTGGTTTAACCTGGGGGGGGAATAAAAACATTTTGAAAAATCTTTACTATGGAAAAACTATTGCTGGCTTATCATGGCTGATGTCATATTGGAAGTTTGTCCAACATTGCCAAAACCCATGGGGGTAAAGTTAATGCTGAATTTAAGACGTTTGAGCCTAAAAGAGAATGCCTTTAGATATCTCTTAAGTTGTTATGTTTACAGATCATTATATATTTGGTTTTGGGTTTCCTGGCACATTGCAACAAATAGTACAGAGAAATATTGGCTACCGATGAAAACCACAATGAACAGTTAGGAACAGAAGACAGTATATACGGCTGACATTCCTCAAAGCATAGTAGTAGAGGACTGTTTAATTAACAGCCCTGAACTTTAGGAGCTCCTAAGGATATCACTATTATAGTAAAGTAAAATTATTATATATAATCAGAAGTATTCACTATACTCCATTTCACAGGAAAAGATAGTAGGTAATTGCTTAGGAAGAAGTCTGTCAGGAATATTCACTATCTTCAATTTCACAGGAAATTGAATTATTAGGAATATTCACGATGTTCAATTTCATAGGAAAAGGTAATAGGTAATTGCTTAGGAAGTTCATCAAAAAGATTCTTTAAAATAATTTCTCAGAAAAAGGGACAGTTCATTTTTCTGGAAAAATGATTCCATATAGTTTATCCTCTAACATTGAAATGCATACGATGTGGTATTTTATTACAGATCAGTTATGTGGTAGGCTAGTAATTCTCAACCTTTTTTAGAAGCTCATTCTTTTTTTAAAAAAATAAGATTTATTTATTTGAGAACGAGAGAAACAGGGAGATAGAGAGCTGGGGTAGGGGCAGTGGGAGAGGGAGAAAAGAGAATCCTGAGGCGGATTCCCCAGTGAGTGTGAAGCCCAGCAGCGGGCTGGATGTCATGACCCTGAGATCATGACCTGAGCTGAAATAAGAGTCAGCCACCCAACTGACCTAGCCACCCAGGTGCCCAGAAACTCATTCTTTTTTTACTGTGGTAAAATATATATAAAATTTACCCCTTTCAACCATTAAAATTTTTTTTATTGACAAAATGTACATAACATAAAATGTACTCCTAACCATTCTTTTGTAAATAGTTCAGTGGCACTAAGTTCATTTACAGTGTTGTGCAGCCATCACCACTAACCATCCCCAGGACTCTTTCATCATAACAGATAGAAACTCTGTACCCATTAAATAATAACTCCTCATCCCCCCTCCCCCCACCCCTCCTCCCAGCCCCTGGTAACTACTCTTCTCCCTTATGGATATGACTGTTCTAAGAACTTCATAGAAGTGGAGTCCTACAAGAGTTATCCTTTTGTGTCTAGCTTATGTCCTTAGCTTGATGATGTCTTCAGGGTCCACCCGTGTTGTAGCAGGTGTCAGAATTTCATTCATTTTCAAGGCTGAATACTCTTCCATTGTATGGATCGACCACATTTTGTTCATCCATTCATCCTCTTCAGTTGCTTCCACCTTTGGCTATTGGGAATAATGCTGATGGCGGCTCTGTGTTTCATCAAAGTCAAAGGTAGTCCTTGCAGTAGCTCCCAGTGCCCTGTCGAATTTGCACTGCCCTCCCCCAGTCTCATACCTCTCTGTGTTTTTTCCTACTACTCTTTCCTCCCTGTTTTTCTCAGCCTCTTTTCTGTATTTTTTTGACCAGGATAGGTACATTCCTGTCTCAGTGCCTTTGAACCATCTTTTTGTGGGTGGGGTTGGGCTGGAGCAGTCTTCCTCCAGATAAACTCCTAATTCATTCCATTCAAAGTTGCCCAGTTACCATTTTCAGTGAGACCTGGCCTGACTACCTTAAAAATGTAACCTCCCCTACCCACTCCCAAATTTTCTTCCCTTGATAGATTTTTTTCTCCATAGCACTTATTTTCTAATATGCTATTTAATTTACTCATTTAATGTGTGTATTCTTTATGGTATGTCTCTCCTACTAGAATGTAAAGTGGTAAGGGCAGGTTTTGTTTTGTTTTGTTTTTCTTTTGTTAGTGTAGCCCCATTACCTAGAGCAGAGCCTGACACTGAGCATTCAATAAATATTCACTGAATTAAATAATAGCAATGTAGGGCCTCAACAGTTAAAAAAATTTGTCAAAGGCAGGTTCCGCAACCAGAGTAACTCACATCTCTGTTGTCTTCTTTCCTGCTGTGATACACTGCTGTGTGATGTTGTGAGCTGGAATTGTAACCCAGGTTTCTGATTCTTCACAGGGTTGATTAAATACTTACATGAGACTGTAAGCTCAGAACTTAACCACTCTCGATCACATTTTCTCATTTAACTTTACATCACTGCAGAGCGATTTGGTGGCACTTGTAAATATTTATAATATATGTATATTTCTAAGAACCTGATCATAGAAACATTTCTCACTAATACATAAATTTGCTCACTGGTTCTGGTTCATTGCAGTATTATCTAAAAGAGCAAAGCAAAATACAAATGACCTAAATATTTAACAAAAAGGAAGTTTTTAAATAAATTATGGTGTGTTCTTAGAATGGTATACACTGTAGGTATTAAAAAAATAGGATGGGAGGAATCTGAATATACGGACTTGGAATAATTTTTGTGATATATTGTTAAATAGTAACATGTAGAACATATATTGTATGATTCCAATACTTGTTTTCAAGAATCCTCAAAATTTGTAAGCTGTAGTTCTGTATTCTGATTAAGTTGATTTCACTCAGTGATTATTAAATGAAAAAAAAGTGTGTAAAATTTGAAAGTAAACAAAAGTGAAAAGTCTCTTCAACCATACCCTCCGCTTCTTCTACCTGTTACCACATTTATAGACAAAATAGAAAGCTTATCATTAGCAAAGAATGATTTGACTCTAAGGAAATGTTCGCTGAGTATATATTCACTATTAATTCACAGACTGGTTTTCTTTCAGGTTCGATCTGGGGCCAATGTTTTAATTTGTGGTCCAAATGGCTGTGGGAAGAGTTCACTTTTCCGTGTTCTTGGTGAAGTAAGTACAAGTTGGCCTCAAGATTTTGCAGTTTTGTTTTGCCATACAATCTATCACATTGCGAAATTTACAACTGCTCCTCTCCCCACTCCTTTTCCTTTTACAGTTATGGCCTCTTTTTGGAGGACGTCTAACTAAACCTGAGAGAGGGAAGTTATTTTATGTTCCTCAGGTAAGACCTTGTTTGAGTTATTTTGTAATGTTTGATGTAAAGATATTTTAATTTATTTTTTTAAAAAGTCACTTACAAAATCAGTGGCATTCCTGTACACCAACAACAAGACAGAAGAGAGAGAAATTAAGGAGTCGATCCCATTTACAATTGCACCCAAAACCATAAGATACCTAGGAATAAAT